GGGAAGCTTGGGATTTGGGAAGCTTGGGATTTGGGAAGTTTGGGATTCGGGAAGCTTGGGATTTTGGAAGCTTGGGATTTGGGAAGCTTGGGATTTGGGAAGCTTGGGATTTGGGAAGTTTGAGATTTGGGAAGCTTGGGATTTGGGAAGCTTGAGATTTTGGAAGCTTGGAACTTGGGAAGCTTGGGATTTGGGAAGCTTGGAATTTGGGAACCTTGGGATTTAGGAAGCTTGAGATTTAGAAGTTTGGGATTTGGGAAGCTTGGGATTTTGGAAGCTTGGGACTTGGGAAGCTTGGGATTTGGAAAGCTTGGGATTTGGGAAGCTTGGGATTTGGGAATTTTGGATTTGGAAATTTACGTATTTGGGAGTTTGAGGATTTGGAAATTTCGAAATAAGGACACTTGGTGATCAAGTTTTGGATCTTGGGAATTTGAGGATTTGGAAATTTCGGGGATTTGGGAATTTTGGGATTTGGAAGTTTTTGGATTTGGGTGTTTAGGGATTTGGAAATATACGTATTTGGGAATTTGTAGATTTGTAAATTTCAGAACAAGGACACTTGAAGATTTGAGAAACAGAGTGTAATTTATGAAATTTGTCGATTCTTAAATTTTAAATAAAAATTTGTTAATTTAGAATTTAATGGATCCAGGAAATCTTAAAAATTGGTTATTCATAAATGTTACAGAAGAGTTTAAGAAATATTGCCCAAGTTAATAATAAACGAATACGTACCATATATGGCAATTAATAATATAATGCAAAAGCTAAGAAAGCTGCGAAGTATATCAACGAACTGCATCTTGTTGTAAGTCCTGTTGCCTCAACTGTACAGTTCAGTAAGTCTTCCGACGTGTCTCCCTCACAACTATGCATTTGCAGACTCGAGAACAGGAATATATACAGGACGTTTATTGCGAAATGTTAACGATATAACGGTACAAACTTTGTAGACTACATAGATTAGATTAAATCTGAGATTCAGAGATAAAGACTAATGAAGAAGTACTCGTATCTTTGTCGTATCAGCTACACAACTTCAACGATATTAGAACTAATCATAAATAAATGGGATATTAATTACAGACAGGCTGAGTTTCTAAATTTCCAAATATCTTAATTTCGTGAATCCCCGAATTTACGAATTCCACGTGTTACTACATTTTACTGATTTCAGTATTTTTTACTTTATTTCATTTTTATTTTAAGAGAAAGGTCAAGTTGAGTATAATAAACTAAAAATTTGTACCTAGATACATTTATTATTCAAGCATATGTACACGCATAAGGCTTGTAGTAAGTTACAAGATAAAGCAGGGTCTGTATTCATATTTTCGTCCTATATTAAATCGAGGCAAGAATCGAACAATCTCACTCGGTATCGAAATTTTAAAACATTTCCTCCACTTATTTTCGACGTCCATTTTGTTACAGCAAAATCAATACGAAAGGATCCATCTTACTGTGACTACGAACCAAACCCACAGTCGCGGTTACGTTTCATTATCGAGATACAAATAAGGATTCGATTTTCACCTCAGTATAGCACCACTCTGAGCTTTACTTCTTCGGATAAATTGTCTGCACGAACACGTCGGCATTCTTGTCCTTCTTCTTTCCAGCTTGGTGACGTAATACTACTACAACTTCCTTGATATCGTACTCGTTCTTTGATGGGTGACCCTTGTTGTACTCCTTCATTTTCGGTAACTTGAAACCACCGAAATCTTTCACCGACAACGTTACCGCTTCAGAGTTCTTACCCTTGTTCAGTTCGCTTATCGCATGCTGACTCTTCTGATTCATCAAAGCCTGATTGGCCACCGCATTTTGATCGCCTCTACTTAAGAAACCAGATTTCTGCGAGTTCGTCGAGTTGGAATAATTTTCTACGCTGTCCAGCGGTCCACGAGCGGCAGGGTAGGATGCGTGGCCTCTTGGATGACCGGGTGCATTGCACCCGTCGCACTTTTTATTTTGCGAATTATCGAGGATAGCCGAGGCAGCGTTAGGTGTTCTGCCAATGTAACGGGCGCTGTCTAGACCTATCGTTGAACGTCGAAGTTTTAGTTTAATAGTTAAGAGTGGAAATCGAGGTGCAGAGGTTGCTCAAGGTGTTGGTGAGGTAGGTTGCAATTTGGAGGTGAGAGTTTTGAAATTTTGGAGTGAGGGAATTTGGGGTTTGGGTTGTTGAGGATTTGGGGGAATGGGAATTTGGGGATTTGGGAATTTAGGGGTTTTGGGATTTTGGGATTTGGAGATTTGGGGATTTGGGGATTTGGGGATTTGGGGATTTGAGGATTTGGGGATCTTGGGATTTGAGAAGCTTGGGATTAGGGAAGCTTGAGATTTGGGAAGCTTGGAATTTGGGAAGCTTGAGATTTGGGAAGCTTGGGATTTGGGAAGCTTGAAATTTGGGAAGTTTGGAATTTGGGAAGTTTGGGATTTCAGGATATTGGGATTTGGGAAGCTTGGGATTTGGGAAGCTTAGGATTTGGAAAGCTTGGGACTTGGGAAGCTTGGGATTTGGGAAGCTTGAGATTTTGGAAGCTTGGAACTTGGGAAGCTTGGGATTTGGGAAGCTTGGAATTTGGGAAGCTTGGAATTTGGGAAGCTTGAGATTTGGGAAGTTTGGGATTTCAGGATCTTGGGATTTGGGAAGCTTGGGACTTGGGAAGCTTTATAATAGATTTGAAAAAATATAGAATCGTAGAAGATTGAAACTCTACTAACTTAAGATTGTAGAATTTTAACATTAAAATTTAAAAATGTAGAACTTTAGAAATTAAAAAATTTACAAATTTACAAATATAACAATTTAAAACTCAGAAATGTAATTTTATTCCTTTGAACTTAGAAATATTCCTAAGATACCCGAAGGTACTTTCAATCGTAAAGAAAGCGCCAGTAAATTCTTAAAGTTCTAAAGCCAGAAATAAGATGAGCACATACCCTCGAAGTTAATTAATAATATGAGGCAGAAGCCAAAGACGAAAGGAGTACGGGTAACCATTCTGAATGACTGATGTTACGTTAATGGCAGTCTACCTTTTTATATTGAACCTCTGTGCCCGACATCAGCCATTAACGAATCAAATTTCAGGGCAATTATAGTAAATATATCGCGATAAACAGTGAAAGTAGGTTTCCGGGTCTATTTTCCATATTCTTCTATTCATATACTCTTTGTTCGGAAAGTGAATACATTAACATAACTAATGACATAATTAAAAATATTTAAGGAGGTTCAAGTTTAAATTTTCCGCGCGTCTATCACACCCGTCTCCATAATTGTTTCTTACGCGCGCTTTTTAAACGTTGCACTCATCTCTCTTTTCTTTTTTTATTTAAAATAAAATGTAAATCACTAATTTTAAATAGTTCATTCCTTAATTAATTTTCAAATAATCAGAAATGACATTAAGAAATAAATTTCCTTCGCCTCTCGTAATTGAATCGCTAAATTTTGCTGCGTTTTTGTTATCGATATGATCTGTTAATTATAGAGCTCTTATCTCGTAATACTTATTTACTGGTTTCAGTTGGTATTGAAAAACAGCCAAGGAAAAAAGTAATCAACGAAGTCATTTTAACCAGAATAATTTATTCTCGGTTTTAAACCATTGTTTGTTCGACGCATGTTATTTGTCAAACACTCTTTGTTGCAGTTGTTGAAAATTCGAGGCGGAAGTCGACGCAAAGTCGAATATCTGAGAACCCGTTTTTTAATTATTAACCCTTTAACCTACAACTTTTTAGTGCGTCATGCATCTAGTTAAATATTAGCTACAGTATCAAGGCAACTAAACAAACTTAAAATGTTAAGGATTTTTTATTTGGTGTCCTCAGTAATCCTTGATTACACAGATTGTTATTAGAATGGAATGCAAAATTGCAGTGAAAATACTGGTTTATCATATTCGACCGTGTCCAGGATATTTTGAAAAAAGAAAACACGATTTAATATGTAAAGATAGTGTATCCAGGATATTTTTAAAAAACAAAACACGATTTACATAGTATAACCGGTTGTATTAAACCGATAACGATAACAAATTGTTAATGAGTCTAACAAATTATGATAACGGTAAATTCCTATTGGTAACCTCGACTTATATATTGTATGACGCTTAACAGTTCTTGTATCACAAATTTAATTTTTAGAAAATAAGCATTCCGTGTTACGATTGTAGCTTAGGTTTTTCTTGTATTATTTAACAATTTGGAATTTTAGAAACCTTTGAATAAAAATATAGGTGAGAGGAGGGAAGACAAAGGGGCAGGAATTGTGAAAGAAATTTTTTAGAAATTTATTGTTGTGAAAAATATATTTTGCGAAGGTACAATTGTATTTCACAGATCAATGTTTTAACTTTTTCTTTATGGTACAGTAAATAAAAAAATATTTCTATTTGGGTTTATAAACAATTATATTAAGTATTAAAGATATTGAAACATGATCGGTCCATTATCTAAAATCTAAAATGACGCCATCTTGACGTAACTCTCGCTCCACATGCAACCCTATTGAGACTTTCCATAGTATCAATATAAAATATTGCAAAGTTAATGTAAAAGGTACTAACGATATATCAGCGCTAAAAAGACCTATAATTTAAAACGTACGTATAAGACATTACAAAAACGAATTTATTGCACACAGTTGATTTTTAAATATGCAAATAATTCAACTTTTCGAAACCCAATCCTTATTACGTAGCTCAGACGCATTTACAATAATTACCTCAGGCTTATTTACTGTAATTATTTTAGACTTTACAATTTACAATAATTATTTCAGACGTGTTTGCTACAATTATTTCAAACATATTTACCGCAATTAATCAGACATTCTGTATATTATTCTCACCTCATAATTCCGTCTTTCACATCTTTTCAATTATACCTTTGACTTCACATATTTTTCAAATTTAAAACTTAGGGGCACCTAATTTAGCCCTTGAGAGGCGTCTTTCAGGCGCCATTTACGACGGTGAATCGTTCGATTTAATACAATAATTTGAAATAAAAATTATTTAATTAATTCTTTAATAGTACTCAAGTGATGTATAAAAACAGTGTAAATTATTAGTAAAGAAATAACCTCGAAAGAACTCATTTAACATTCCAATTAATATTTTCAAGTTACCGTTCATACATTACCCTATCAGTTACATCAATCACTGTTCCCAACGTGTCAAAACACGTTCATAGATACTCTATCTTCGTAGCAACAAAGTTTAAATTAAAATTGTCAGTTCCAACACATAATTCACGCATGATTTGGAATAAATAATAAAGTAGATAAAACAAGTGGACGATAAATTAAGAATTGATCGTTTAATATACACGTTAATTGAATGTGATTGATTGATCTTGTATTTCGGTCAAGTCATCACGCATTTCAAGAATGACATCTTATAATAAAAAATGTTATAATAAAGAAACAAAAGAAATTTGTGTACCAGTTATTTTATAATATCAATTACATGATTTTTGACATCGATTATATGATTTTTGTTAAACCATTAAACTTTCACAAAATATTAAATATTCAATCGCGCTGTAATCGTAATTATAGTTGCATTAAACCACTAAAATAAATTAAATTAAAGTACTCCTGAATTTTAAGATTGGAAGTATTAAAAAGAATACGTACCATAAAGGTTGACCAATAAAACGATTAGGAAGCAGTAGGCAAAATGTCCCTGGAACCTCATTTTCACAAATGACGGTTTTTCAGGAGTGCTCGGCCTTTTATATTTTTAACCGATTTCGAAAAAGGAGGAGGTTACTCAATTCGATCAGTATATTTTTCTCCGTAAATGTTGAAAGGGTCTTTAACGCAAATTTTTAAATTCTATCTCCACTACTGGGAGGATCCCCTCAAAATTAATTAAGAATGAAACACGATTAGTCGCCGAAACGAAAATGTTCTGAATACAAATTTCCCGTGCATCGACCATTCCGATACTTTCTCCCTACCTGCCATTTTCTTCTCTTCGAACAGATTTGAATAATAAAATCTCGTTCAGTTTTGTTTGAAGCTTCATTCGCAGCAACAAAAAAGTAGCACAATTACGTATTATATTTTACATCATTAATGATCGTTAGACTTAACTATTACTTAATGACATTTTCGTCAGGTATCAATAAAACATCGTTTGAGTAACAATATATAATATCAATATACATCATGTACCAATATGCATCATATATACATCACATTACCAATATCAATATACATATATTATCATGTATTTACATTTTAGAATAAATGAAAAACTTTTCACATACTCTGCACTGCATACATTTGATTGAGAAATCGTTTGTAGATCTACTTTGTAGATTAAACAGCTGGTAGATAAAAGAAATTATGAAGTGCAAAGAGTTAATGGGTTATCTATACAGGAAAATTCTTTATCTCGGAGAACTTCCCTTTTTTTTAGATAAGTCATAGAACAGAGAGAGTGTTTGAACGAAGAAAGAAGAATAAGTGTGAAGAAAAGTCACTTATGTACAGGGTGAGTCACCTAACGCTTGCACCTCAAATATCTTTGTTGTTTTTATTCTCAAACATCTTGAGAACAACGTTGAGTGGTTCGGTGAGGTTCAGAAAAAAAATTTGTATTAGATCATCGTTTTAAAAATATATAAAATGCAGCTATTTCGCATCCATGTTTTAGTTTTACATATTTACTGTCTGTGATCTTAAAGGACCATGTAATAAATTTAATCACTGTATTCCTAATGAAAGGACTAAAATTCTAGGTGTTTAACAAAGGGTAGTTTCACTAAAAAAAATGAAAATTACCGTTATATTTTTAAAAGAAACGAAAGAAAAATAAAAGTTTTGCAACGAGTGAGCTTCACCGAGCCATTCAACATTGTTCTCAAGACATTTGACGTATCTTTCAAAACAACAAAGATATTTGAGGTTCAAACGTTAGATGACGCACCCTGTATATCACTACTGTTATCATGCCGGGAGAGGTCATATCTCGGGATTATCTCAATACTAAACTTCGAAAATGGCGAATTAATAAAAGGTCGGGAGTTTCTGGCGGACCGTCATTTGGTAAAATGATGTTATATGTGCAATTAGCATATTGTGCAATTATATTACTTGCGAACCTACAAAGTATGTATACTTCTTATTACATTCAGTTTTGGAAAGTTTGGTAATAATGTCATATTAATGTACGAGGCAGTTTGCAAGTTTGAAATTATTTATTGCAAAAATGTGGTTATGTAGATTTGGAGTTGTTTCCTGTGAGCCTTTGAGTAACATATTAATGAATTATGGGTTTCTTATTGGTTATGATAAATTGCTCTTCTATGTTACAAAAATTGATTTGCATAGAGGTTGATTTTATCAAGGTAAAAAATGAGCATATGCATTAATTTATGGTTCATTTATTCATTCTTTTGGTTTATAATTAATTGCAAACTTCGTGTGCCAGATGTTCTCCAAGTTTTCCAATTCAGAAATTACTAAATCTCTAAATTATACATTAGTCAATTTCCAAAACCTTGAATTTCCAACTTCTAAATATGGAAATCCTCAAGTTCCTAAATTTGCAAAGTCATACTTCACATGTGCCAACACTCAAATTTCCAAATCTGCGAATTCTATTATTCAGAAATGACCAAATCTCTAAATTGTACAGTTTCCAACTTCCAAAACCTTGAATTTCCAAGTTCTAAATATGGAAACCCTCAATTCCTAAATTTGCAAAGTCATACTTCACATGTGCCAACACTCAAATTTCCAAATCTACGAATTCTATTATCTAGAAATGATCAAATCTCTAATTTGTACACTCTCCAACTTCCAGAACCTTGAATTTCCAAGTTCCAAATATGGAAACCCTCAAGTTCCTAAATTTCCAATCTCATACATCACATGTGCCAACACTCAAATTTCCACATCCACAACTTCTATCAAAAAATACCAAACCTCTCATTCTTACACTTCCCAATCTCCAAAACCTTAAATCTCCAATCCCCAAAAACCAAATCCCTCAATTCCCAAACTCCCACTCTCCAATCCCACATGCAATAATTCTTCCCACTCTTAAACCTAACCTCCTTTATCTCTTTAAACCTAACCTCCGAAAATTCCAAGAATAAAAGAACATACGATTAACAACAGATGCAGCCAGCGCCAAATACAGTGGAGTATCAGCCAATTCCGCGGGAGCGGTTCTCGATCATTCACAAAACGCCATGTGCGATTCGTGTAACGCCCCTGGGCATCCAAGAGGACACGCTTCGGATCCAACGCAACAAGGACCCCTCGACAGCGTCGAAAATTATTCCCGTACCACGAAGAGCAGGAAATCTGGGTTCTTAAACAGGTACGATCAGAACGTGGTGGCTCATTTTATTCTGAGGTCTCAAAGAAGTCAGCGAGCGATGGCGATCTTGAACAGAGGCGAATCTTCGGCGTCGCTGACGTTTTCGGTCGGGGAGCTGCAAATTAATTTTCCGATGATGAAGGAGTGGAATATGGGTCTTCCTTATACGGACGAAATGCCGACGAATCATGTTGTAATTGTGTTACGGCACCATCAGGGTAAACGGGGTGATCCGAATGCTGAGGTTTTTGTACAAACGATTTATCCGAAGCAATGGTAGACTGTTGGTTTATTTGGCAGTCACGGTTTATTTGATACTGGTACATTAACCCTTTGCGCTCAAGAGGTGACTCAGTCCCCATTGTATTTAATACAATAATTTGAAATAAGCGTTATTTAATTAATTCTATAATAACGCTCATATGATGTATAAACATAATGAAATAGACAATAGTGGAAATTAATAACAGGGAAATAATAACCTTAAAAGAACTCATTTAAAATTTTAATTAATATTTTAAAGTTACTGTTTGCAAGCAGTAAAATTATCTTCGAGTGCAAAGGGTTAATCCTCTGTAATATGACGCGCGTGATGTATACACATGGTGAAACAATTGTGGAAATTATTAGTGGAGAAATAATAACCCGTTGCACTATTTTGACGAGTCAGACTCGTGACGCACTTGTACTTCGGCCGTAATCAATTTTACTCGAATTTTTAGTACTCTTCAGTTTGAAGTTCAAATCAATAAGTTGCATAGTCAACGATTGCATAATAAAATATTGACATAACATTTCACATTTTTTTGTTTGTATTAATATTGCAGCTCTAATTAGTCAGTTCTTACTGACGCACCTGACAAATGAGCCATAGTGCAAGGGGTTAACCTCAAAAGAATTCATTTAACTTTTTATCTAAGTTTTAAACATTACTGTTTGTGAACAGTCAAATTACGATCGACTGCAAAGGGTTAACTCGATGCAAGGCGAATTGAGAAATATTGGATATTTATTTAAATTGTAATGGTGAAATTAGACTGTGTATTGAGCTGTGGATTTTTGGACTGATTGTAACTTTGCTTTTTATGTATTTTGTACGGAGACACTTTTTTATCAGTTTATTAATAATAAAATATACTTTAAATTGGATAAAAAGTTTCATGTAATTACAATCTTTTTCCAGTGATTCCTATTTTATAGTTTAGCCAGACAAAATTAACTCTAAAAGTCCATTGTTAGTATTGATGAGAGATTTTTTCAAATAAATTTCGACTATAAGAGTGTTTTGAAGAAATGAATGATTTAAGATTTTAGGGTGAACGTCCTGATTTTGTGCACTTTGTTTAAGTGTCAAAGAATGCTAACTTGATATGATGTTATCTGACTTCAACTTATTGTACTTGGAGTTCACATTGTTTGACTGAACCCTTGTATTGTATGACTATTCTGTTTATGTGAGCGATGTTGCAAAATTTCAGTTTACGAAAGCTGACACTGAAAATTAACGTCATTTATGGGAACGAAAATTTGCAAATTAAAATTTGAGCAGACAAGTAGATATGGTATGGTTGTTCCCCTTAAGCTAGGAAATGACCGACCCTGACACATAGTATCGAAAAGCTGAACTATGACAACAAAATTTTGTAAAATTTAAGAAAATCTTCATACTGTTAGTTCTGGGAGAATTTTGTAAACAAGCTTGCTTTTTATAGAAGAAAATATTTGTGAAAACGGTATTTGGTGATTGGGAAGAAATATTTTTATTGTACTGATGTCATTACGTGTATTACCGACCGAGCACGATATGAGTAAACTGTTTTGAACATATAATTTACATTCGGGTCCATGGAAAATATTGCAAACAGTATAAAATCAATATTAATAAGTATATAATTAATATATAGCATATTAATTAATGTTAATTGCGTTTTTAGGAAAATTTGTAAATTGGATTTTTAAAAAAATTGAACATGTAGCGCCATCTCTCCAGCGAACAGGGTGAACTACACACTTTTGAAACTGTAGGTTCATTAGTTCTCATTTCTACCATCAGAGGGCAGCACATTCTCAAGTGGCGCCATCTCTCCGGCGAACAGGGTGAACTACACACTTTTGAAACTCTACTTTCATTAGTTCTCATTTCTATCACCAGAGGGCAGCACATTCTCACGTGGCGCCGTCTAGCGGGGAAGATGAGAACTAACGAAGCTGCTGTTTCAAAAGTGTGTAGTTCACCCTGTTCGCCGGAGAGATGGCGCTACATGTTCAATTTTTTTAAAAATCCAATTTACATTGATTTTATTGCTTAATATGCTATGTATTCATTATATATCTATTAATATTGACTTTATACTGTTTGTAATATATTCTGCGGGTTCGAAAATGTGCTTTATGTATTCAGAACACTATACCGTATCTCATCGACTATGTAAGCAATGACATAGGCATTGCAAAAAATTTTTTTCGAGTTGCAAAAATCCTTCTCACACATATTTTCTTTCGTATAAGACTCTATTTGTAAAATTTACTTTGAAGTTTCTTCAAAATTGCAATTACTTTATTTCAATAGTTTCATGCCTTACTGCTAGGTGATTCTAGTTGAACTTTCCAGATTGCCCACACGTGAACTCAAACTTTAAAAAATATTTAAAAATGAGGCTTCTAAAAAACTATAAAACTATTAAACAATACACTAAATTCAATAATGATGTTTGTAACGATATAGAAATTTCATAACGATACTCCTAATTTTTTATTGGAATCTACTCGAAAAGAATGGACGAGGATTGAAGAGGCTTTCTTACAGATAAAATAATTTAACAAACAACAATCATATACTTTTTCTTCCTTCTTTATTATCATACGCTTTCGTTGTTATAATTATGATAGAGCAAGATTACACAATAGTACTCTACAAGTTAGTTTTGATAAGAAATAAGGGCGTAAAAGGCTCGTGTCTCCGTTCCGATAAAAACTGGAAGACGCAAAGGTGTATCGAAAATTACTATCGGTGTTAATCGGTAATACAACGTACGAAATATACAAAGCAGACACCGTTTGTTCGGTGTCCAGTTACCTACCGTCTTACGACTACATCTCTTACCTTTAAAGGTTAATAATTGTGATTCGAATGTTAAACGGTTTGATCCCGTTTACATCGCGATGTCTCGTTGTCGCGACACGTCACGAGGCCGCGTTGCAAGCGGTTTAAGGCGATTTAAGTACTATGAACGGTTTTGGCACTTAGATTTACGATTGCACTAATTAGAAAATGGTACCGCTTACTTCCTGAACGTGGAAATGCACCTATTTGTTTGCACGAACTGTTATGATTCTGCGACGCGGTATTTGTATTTCGCGCCCCGATTATTTCATTCGGTATAGGTGTTCCGCGCATGCGCAAACTCATCCTTCACTCTGAACGGATATTTTCGTATACCTTATCGTAATCGTATAAAAAGAATTTGATAATAAATCGACAAATTAGAAAATAAGTATCTCTTGAAAATTTCGCTTCTGAAAAAGTCCAGAATATTATCGGATTTGATCATTTTACAAGTACTCGTTGAGCGTAGTTATCGAAGTTTCAAAAAAATTATTCTCGATAATAATTTTCTAATACGTCTTAATATGTTTTTAATTAATATGATATTCGTTCGCGAATGACTATGTCTAAATTCTACGCATAGTTCTACGCTTTCTCTGTCTACTTTGGCATATCGACCGAAACGAAATGATCGTTAGACGCTGGAAATGGTGCACGTTTGCACGTTTTAAACACGTCGTTCACGAGTTTTCTTTTTACCTTAGGTTCATCGCTATCCTACACGTCGACGCTACGATTATTGGCAGTATTTGGATTCGCATAAAATATCCTTTTCTCGTTTATATCTCTCTCTTTTGTTCGAGTAAGGCAAATTGTCAGGCTATCGTACGTGCGAAATATTGCTTTAGCAAATCGCTTTAACTCGGTAAAGCGATGCAAAACTGCCAACGTTACGACGCTGTGGTACCCGTTTATAGTTTCTTTTGCTATTAATTGAAGTAGGAAATGGAGGCACTATGAAGTCTAACACGCGCGATGCATTGTTTCAGAAATTATTATTTTTTTTAATATCCTTTATACGCGGTTTCATTCGTGAATTCGTTTCAAAATTAAAAATTGTAAAATTCAATAACTCAGATTCCGAATGAGGTTCAAATTAATTTGAATGAAATTCAGACTAAATTAAAAGGTACTATTTATAATAATAATTTATACTTGTACCCTAAAATACCCACCTTTTAAGTAATTTTTTTTATATACCAAAGTATCCATAGTAAACTGGAACTAAAATTATTTAAAATCGTATTATAGGAGGGAACATGCACAAAGTGCAAATGATTGCAATGAGTGAACTGCAAGGACAATGCAACGTGCGTTCAGACTTAAACTTTACATGAATAAGGTGTACTGTTTACGCGTTTTGCGGGATTGTGTGGTAAGCTCGAAGGTTAGGATTAAATTAACGAATACTATCCGTGGAATGGCGATTGTTATTTCTACGATACTATCGAATCATACTAAACACTGAGGTTTTCGAACGTAAATTATGTCCATAATTCTTCACATTTTGCCAATATTGTAGCTGACATTAATAAATACTGTAGCTATTGTATTAGCAAAATGGTGGAAAGAATTTTGAATAGACATTTACATCCAAAAGCTTTTAACATTGTTAACACTTCGACGGCCATTTTGTGAAATACGTGCTTTTCATAATTTTATGTGTAAGAAAATAGATTACTGAAAGAGATTACTGGAGTATTTATCAGTTTTCAAATTTAAGTTATGATTATATAAATAAACGTGTGTGGATACTGGCATGAAATGTTGTATAGCAGTCATTGGCATAACTAGATTAAGAGTCTTAAAACTTAGACCGGAAAGAATTAAAAAATAATTCCTTTTAAAAAAAGTAACCTTTTTGTTCTTTGAAATTATGTACCTTTTCTCTGAAACTCAGTTATTAATATTTTTAAAAATAACAAAAAATATTGGGGTGACTTAAGCACCCTACAATGCTATTCAACACAAAAATATAATAATATTTTTAGACCACAAAATTTAAAAAATAACCTTTCTGTTCCTTGAAATTATGTACCTTTTCTCTGAAACTCAGCTATTAATATTTTTAAAAATAACAAAATACTGGGTAAACTTAATCATCCTTACAATGCTATTCAACACAAAAATATAATAATATTTTCAGTACAAATTTTGTTAGAATAAGCGTACTATTTTTAATGAAGTCAAAAAAGACATGGCTCACTTCAAACACGAATCCTAGTTACGTCAATGGCGATGGCCGTCAAAGTGTTAAACAAAAAGGTTCCGAAGATCGGACTGTCGAACGTTCAGCCGCGTAAGCATATAGATGATCAATGGAAGCACGGTGCTCGAAACTCATTTCGATGATTATCGTCATTCCTGATCGAACTAACTGGGTGTAAGAGACAACGATGTGACCGTACCATGTACGTGAGAACATAACAAATTTTTTATTTATTGGTAACTGTTACAATGCTCTCTATATGCTTAAGCAGTACAGCGCGTTCTTTCGTTTTACACGTGTGGTTCTCGTTGAGATATAGCGTGGTCGTAAATTTGATCTGTTGGAAACGAGTGTTCTAACACATTTTGATCGTAGACCATTGGGACAATTTGTAGTTACAGACGCCGTAGATTTCACAAGCTATGTTAAATTATAGCTCATCATTTATAACCATTCTACTTTTGTAAGATAAGAAGTCTGCGAGATACAGTGAGCTCGCAAATTAAATCATGAAATGAAGATATCGCTTGAAGTAGTAGCACTCAAGTTCATACGTATTTCAGATTGCCTTTAACCCCCTTTTAAAACAGTAAACAAATAGCCAGACTATTACCCAGATTATCCCTAACCAATTCAAACTTCACCCTCACCAAAGATCTCGTCACATATCAATCTTTACAACCACGCTATATTTCATCAAGCTTCCATATCTCCCACTCCATAATCATACATAAATTCCACCGGGAAACTGGTGTTAAAAGTTCGATCTTCACCATCCTTCAGCAAACGAAAAAAAATTGAAGAAAAACTTTAAACGAGCCCAAAGTCGGTATGAACAGTAACGTCGCAGTTGTTCGGTTTCTCCGCGGCAGCCATGTTGACTTCAACCAAGGTGTCCACGCTGTTGATAGGGCATCCCTTGAGGATCTTCTGAGCGGCCAAGCTGGTGAACTGCACCTGCATGTCGCTGAGACTCGGATACGAGTACAGATCGCCTCGACTGACCGTCTTCTCGAGATTCGGTTCGGAGCCTTGCGGTGCCCTCTGTTTCGCGCTCTCTAGGTTCTCGATGTAGACGTTGTTGAAGGAGCCACCGAACCCGTCGAAGGATTTGGTGGGCGACGGTGGATTCGACGCGATGTTGTTCTTCGAGTCCGGACGCAGGAGATTCCTGTAGCTGAGAGCGTCTTTGGACAAGGACAGGCTCAATTTCCGTGAATTATTCATGGCGTCGTTGGTGTTCTTCATGGTGGACAGAGCGGAGGTAGGGTGCTCGTTCACCAGAGAGTTCTTGTCGATGTTGTTGGTGGATCCGTCGATCAGGTGTGCCTGGCTGTTGTTCAGACGATTAGTCAGCTTCAGTTTATTCGAAATCTCCTCCTCGACCTTCGGTTTGTTCTCCTTGTCCGATTCGGACAACAGGTGGCTGGGCTTCGATTCTTTGGAGGCGTACAACGAGGACGGCCGCTCGAGTTTGCTCGATTTGTTCAGCTTCTCGTCGTCGAGCTTCGACTTGAACAGCTTCTCGTCGTCCATCTTGCTCTTGTAGATTTTCTCGCCGATCAGTTCTCGTTCCTGCTTCTCCTTGCAGTCGAGCGTCTCCTTGTCCGCCAGCTTCGTCTTCACCGTGCCGTTCTCGAACGTGATCACCGATCTCATGGGAGAGTTATTCTGCTGCACGTAGATCTTCGTGCCCGGTGAACCGGATATAGTGGTCGTGCTGGTTGCGTTCGAGGCCAGTGTCACGCTGTTCTGAATCGCGCGTTGATCCTGGGACGGACTCACCGGGGTCAGATTCGTCGACACCTGGAGGGTTATCGAGTTCTGCGCTTCCTGCAACGGCGTTAGGGATCCTTGCTGGACGACCTTCAACGGGGACGATTTGGCAGGAAGCGTGGACGTCTTCAACGGCGACGAGGATAGTTTACCGCTGGAGATCGACTTTCCGCTGGAGTGGGACGAATGCCCGGACGATGTTTTTTGCAGAACCTGTTGAGACGGTCCATTAGTTGGTTTCTTCTCACATGCTGTATAGTAATATTATAAGGTACTAATTTGGGAACTTTGAGTTTTGGGATTTATGAGTGCGTGAGTTTTGGGAAAATTGAAAGATCAAGAATGTATAATGAAATAGGTTAACCCCTGCACTATTTTGACGAGTCAGACTCGTGACGCACTCGTACCTCGGCCGCGATCAATTTTACTCGTATTTTTAGTACGCTTCAATTTGAAGTTCAAGTCCAATTATAATTTGCATAGTCAACGATTATATAATAACATATTGACATAACATTACACATTTTTTTGTCTGTATTAATATTGTAGCTGTAATTAGTTAGTTCTGACTGACGTACTTGGCAAATAAGCCATAGTGCAAGGGGTTAATTATAATACTACGTTGGAACATGTCTGCTAAACTACATAATGAAGTGATCATATCTTGACTTTCCTTTACCTTATGCTGAGGTGATCCGTTCGTCTTCATGCCGCTGCCCGTCGAATCGTGACTGGGTCTCCTGGAGTTCGACTGTCGTGTACTGGATCTCCCTAGGGTTGCAGTTTTGGCGGGACTGGCGTTCGCCGTTCGAACGGAACCTGAACTGCCGCCGCTTCGACTGGGCGAGGAGTTTGTCGAGTTTTTACCGTTCTGCGTTTGATTGCGGCTCTGATAGGATTCCTGGTTTGCGCTCGGAGGCAGCACACTGGCCCTGGAGGTGCATCTACTCAGGCTGGAGCATTTCGACCTGGGCAGCGTCGAGCACGGTGATCGGTGTCGTCTGGAACTCCTCGGCGTCGAGTTGGCCAATAAACTGGAGGAGTCGCCACTGGCTTGACGTCGATGTCGCCTGGGCAACGTGGCTGATCGCACGGAACTCGAGTCGTCCCATACTTGAAAACTGGCCTGTGACTGATCTAGACCCTCCATCATCTGAAAATGTTACTTTAATGAGGAGACTGACGTAAAACGTGGAGGAGACCTTAGGGAAATTGGAAATTAAGATATGAATAATGGCGATATAGGAAGAAGGTGTTGATATTTTTAATAATAATTACTGACCAAGATATTATTGTTAGGACAATTCAGTCCACATAAGATAGACAGTATAAGTATCTTTTTATGCTATGACATGGAACAAATTTCATAGCAATTTAGAGGGTTTGGAACAGCGAAAAGCACGGTGTCTGAATTATAATTTGTGCGATGTTGAACTCACCGACGGGCTGGCAGCTCTCGTTTGCGTGGCCACGCTGTGCAAATGAACGACGCGAGGATTGAACCACTCGGTAGGAGGATACTGTGCGCTGAAGGTGCCCATCAACGGTGCGCCCTTCCTCCTTGTGCTGCGTCGGAACAGCCTGGAGAGTAGACCTATCTTCTCTGAAAAAATCCCGGAGAAACCTTGAGAAAGAAAAGAAGAAAGGGAGACCGACGTTGCATTTCGTTACTGAGAGATCGGGGATCGAGGAAGGGCTTGCCAGCTAAGGGTGACTAAGAGGCTTAGTTGTTGGATGTTCGCAGCGGCGCGGATTGGGAGCAGGGTGTTAACACGGATACATCAAACTGTAAGAGCTTTTATTTCGGAGATAAATGAAGCGGACGGTAGAGAAAGCCGTGGATAAATGATTTGCTTGTCGCGGATAAAGACGTCCAACTCGTTGGAACGAAAGTTTCGTTTTAACTGAAAGTCACGATACTCGTGCACTTCGGAGCTCGATAAGCGGTCGCTTTGCTTTTATCTCTAGGTGTGTACGGTGGAACATGCTTCGAAGGTCTCGCGAAAATTTTGTTTGAAAAGAAACTCCCTCTTGCGAGTGGGTGTTTGGAGGGGACGTTTGACTTGCTCGATAAAGACTTCCTCTATGAAGACTTCTTCTGTGAAGACTTCCTCTATGTTTACATGAATGCTGTTTTACAAGTATGTACTTTTACGGAATGTTGTTTTTACGCTTTTATTAATTCATTTGCCAAATCTATGATATTAGGTTTTATACACTTCGTGTATGAAATACATTCGTTATACATTTTCAATACACGTTTTCATTATAAATTTTTATTATACATTTTCATTATACATTTTGTGTTTCATTTTTATTCTAAAGAAATGTAGAAATTTGACAAATTTTCGACTTGATAGTATAAAAATGTAAAAATTTTTCAATTTGAGAATTTGAGTCTGAAAAGTCAAAAATTTGTATATGCAAGAAAATTGAAAGATGTGGTGAATTAATGAAACTTGAAAATGTTAAGTACTCCCAATTTTTGGTATCCGAATATTTGAAAAATTTAAGCAATTCAGAGACTGAAATTTTATAACTTTAAAATGTAAAATGTTGGAAAGTAATAATTTCAGAATAACATATGCATCGATATTTCTGTGATAGTTTAGTAATATCGCAACGGAGTAAACAGTATCGAGGAAGTGATTTGTCGGTCAACTCAAACGGACCCCATTCGATTGTGCCGCGCGAAACAGGACACGCTTTCTTCGATCAAACACCTTGAGCCACATATCGAAGCATCTGTTTATAAAAAGGAAAGCCAACGCGTCCTGATTAAGCGATCAATCACCCAGCACCAAAACAATCCCTTCCCCGATTCGACTCACTGGTTGGGCTATGGGGTGCGCTGTCGGTGCTCGCGTATTCCGCGCTCGAGGAGGTGTCGCTTCTTTCCGGCCTTCGTGGCAAAGACCGCGAACTTCCGCTTCGGTGTAAACGTCTTGCGGATCCCCAAAGTCGTAGAGAGTGTCGCCTCTCGAGGCGGCCCGGCATCGATCGACATCTTGCGAACAGAACCTTGTCGTTTGGATTACCTGCAATTACATTTCACATCTAAATCTCTCTTACTATTACATCTACTCTTTACAGAATAATCTGACGTTAATCTGTCTTCTATCCATCAGAGTAACGTAGCTACTGATCCTTAAATTAGTTGAATTAACACTAGAACTACCGACAGTAAATGCTCGTTTATTGGAGAATGAAAAATAAAATGAAAAGGTTAATAAATAAATAGGGTAAGGTTGCTCGAATCGTACCCCCTATGAAAAGCAATGAGTATTTAGCAAATATGTAAAAACTATATTTGCTATTCGATTCTAGTGTAAATATTGTTTGTGTTTATTAGAACAACTCTGAATAATCTTTGTGTTGTCATATAAATTAATCCTAATGTAGTAGCCATAACACTTCAAATATAGATCAAGTACGATTTAAGCAACCTTACCCTAAAGCATCAAGTAACATATAGAACTAGTTTTTCCCTCAACAAAATGACAGACATTTCCATAAAATCGCGCCAATAAAATTTTGCAATATAAAATGAGAAATCTGAAGCCAGTCATTTTGACTTGTTGGTAGTTCTAGTGTTAAAAGTCATGTTACATATGTAATTCTATTACTTTGCCAAAAGAAGTGGGAGATCAGAGGTGGTTCAAATTTATGTGACAATTTCGGATGAAATCAGGTAAATGAAGACTTTGAAGGGAATAAATTTGGAGGGTTTGATCGATGAATCATCGGTCCGTCGATTCTCATGACGCGAGAGTCGCGAACTCGAGCCGCGTGCTCAAAAAGTGGAACACCCTCGTTCTTGATTTTCATCGTGGTACACAGCCAGAGGCGGTGGCGACGACCGGCCGACTGGTTGGTTTGCCAGCGTGAGAATCACTCGAGAAACGAGCCAGAGAAAAGTAGGAAGATTATATACGTGGCCCCCCACGTGATCCCGACAGCGTGTGTAACGGTAGACAATGTCGTGACCAATAGCTAATATATCGGTTGTGCTAAACGCTTTCCAGGGATCGTCGAGTTGCCACGGACGGTCTCTTACTCTTCTCTTCTGTCCTTTCTGTGTACACGTTGCCCGTGTATTTATATACCGGCCGTTCGCGTGTACGTCCTCCATACGCGTCTCTCACGATGTATGGTAAAAGGCGAAGGAAGCGTGCAAGGTGCCGAAGGTGTTTCCGTGTCAATGCGCCAGAAAATTCCAGTTTGCTCGTTGCACCGAAACTTTGACCGTACTCGTTCCTTTTTTTTTAGACACGGACAACTGGTCGCACGCAAACACTCGCTTGCTTCGTTGACGATCGATGAACCGCGTAACAATGCACCGTCGAGTTCAGCTATTCTAGGATAAATATGGCGACCAGGAGACAACACGGTTGTCGATTTTTTGGGTATTCGGGATCTGGAAATTTTGGTTCGTGCAAATAATTTGAGAACGTAGGAATTTGGGGCTAAGGCAGGTATTTGGAGAATTAGGGATGTGGATATCTAGGATATAGGAAATTGGAAGTCTATGGATTTTGTGACCGAGGAACTTTTAGTCTTTCGTGGTCTACAGATTTAGGAAGTTTTGAAATTTTTTATACAGCGAATTCAGGGTCTATGGATCTTGAAATCTAGGGTTGTTTATCTAGACACTTTTGGAACTACGGATTTAGAACTTCGGGAGTTTCTTGGTTTAGAAATTTGGGTATCTATGAATTTCATAAACTACAAGTTTTTGAATGCAATGATTTGATTTGAAAGTTGAAACAATTCCCAAAACCCCAGATCTGAAATTAAGCTTGAATTCCTAGCATCTATCTACTCTATAAATCCCGAGTCCATTTTCAAGCTGTCTATCCAATCAGCGTACCTTTCGAGAAGTGTCGACCCTCGGTAGATAAGGAAATTATTTGCTTTTCTCCGTGCGAGCGTGTTCCATTTGAATTTTCAATACGAAGAGGGTACATAAACTCGCCATCGAGACGATAGCCACTCTAAATACAGCGATAAGGTGGCGCAATTTAAATCGAACCGCGACGATTTTTTGATACGAACCACCGCGAAGGAATGCAACATCTTCCGGCGCGAGCTGCGTGGCTGCCAAGGACGACGACAACATAAACGTACCGGACCCGTCCATCGAGTTCAAAGAAAAAGATCTCTCCTGCTGCTAGCCAACTCTACTCCTGGACACTCGGAACCATTCCCGAACACGTGCCCAACGAGTTTGCTCGGATTGAGTCTGGCCGAGTTACTTCGACTCTGCCTCTGCTTTTATCCTCAAATATTCTCAAATTTTTTAATTTCGCACGCTAGGAGGCACCATGAGAAATATAGAAATTTAGCATTGTGATCAAATGGTAATTAGGAGATGTGAAATTTGAAAAGGTCTAAGGTTTAGAAGTTGGCAAATTTACATAGAGAGTAGGAACGTAGGATTTGCAAATTTAGGAACGTAAGAAATTCGAGAACTTGAAGATCTAGAATTTGGAGATCTTAGGAATTTGAAGAATGAGGATTTACAAAGTTGGGAATATTCAAGTTCCTTTATCTCTGTATCTGTTTCTTCTTGGTCGTTATATTTCCTTCAATTATCATCCACATGTGAACATCCACATATGAGCATCCACATGTGAACATCCACATATGAACATCTACACCTGAACATCCACATGTGAACATCCACATATGAACATCCACATAAGAACATCCACATATGAGCATCCACATATGAGCATCCACATATGAGCATCCACATATGAGCATCCACATATGAGCATCCACATATGAACATCCACATATGAACATCCACATATGAACATCCACATATGAGCATCCACATGTAAACATCCACATATGAACATCCACATATGAACATCCACATGTAAACATCCACATCTGAACATCCACATATGAACATCCACATCTGAATTAATTTTTCATACTCCTCAAATGATATGTTCATTCAAACAATTCTTTCAGTTCTTCCCCAAATACTCTTCAGTTCATAAAAACATGAAACGTATTTTTCTTCATAAAAACATGAAAGAAAAAATATTTGTAGGATCGAATGTCTTACCTCCACATATCACATCCGCCAGATTCGTTTGCACAGCTTGATGCGTCACGTCGCCATCCCTAAGGGTGAGCATTTCCCCATGCACGAGCGCCATAGCCTCGTCGTTGGACATGAGCATGCTCCCCTGACTTCTGGATCCGCTAACCTCCCTGGAGCATCTCCTGGAATTACTGGAATCGCGTCTAAGCCTCCTGGTCTCGGGTGTCACGACAAAATATCCCTGTGACGTGTGATAGATCTTGCGTTCTTGCATGAGTTTCGCGAGGGCATCGTATACTAGCTCGCGACTGGGTCTCTGCATCGCAGGAAAAGCGTTTCTTAAAGCGGATCTTAGAGTGTCCAATGTGGCGGCCTGCCTTTGTGAAGTTAACTCGAGAATGGCCCAGCAGAGAGCTTCCGGTAGGGGCGTGAATTGACCTTGGGCTACCGGGGCTACTAGACAATCCTCGATATCGCCTGAAACAGCAAAAGCAATTGGTTGTTGAGTTATTGAGTTTGTGGAGTATTTTTTTGGTGATTGATATGTGTAGGGGATATGAAGGGATGAGTTGGTGGTGAGTTGGAGTTTCATTTAGGAGATTCTTTTAATGTAGGAGGACTGAGATTTCTGAAATTGGCTATGTCTGAAATGGAGATCTCTAAAATGATATCATTTTTTAGGTGGATCGTTGAGAGAGTTAAGCTTGCGAGAGAGTTTAAGTTTTCTGGACTTTCAAGTTAGACATTGAAACATTTCAAGTTTCTCAAATTTCTTCATGTTCAAAATTTACAATTTCTACATTTCGAACTTTCTAAATTTCCAAATATTGATATTTCAAAAAATCTTTAATTTCAAGGTTCCTAAATCCTTAAAATTACAAAACTTCTTAATCACTCAAATTTTCATATTTGCTAAAATTTTGCTGAAATTGTGTTAAATTCCTAAATCCACCCATAATTCCATAAATAGAATCCACCCATAAATAGAACTCCGTTAATTTTCACCTAGCGTCAAGAAAGTGATGATGGACAGAAAGGGATCAAGGTTGCAGCCCAGCGCAAAAGTAGTCAAAGGTGCGACAAGATCAGGCAATCCCATTTTTAAGGATCCGTTCATTGAAATTCTCCTGGCATATTCGGTCGACAGAATGAAACCGTAATAGCTAGTTGGTTGCCAGGAACTGGCGACATTCAGGCAGCTGCCTTTCTAGTTCTAACTGAGAGACGGTTCGGGTTTCCGAATGCGTGTACCAGCTACGAACCGAGCGTTTCATTAACGAACACATGTAACCTTCTGCTTGTTCGACGCATAATGTTTAAGGCTTGTCCTCGGTGGACTGGTTAGATCGCGTTTCCTTTTGCGAAAACTATGCAGGAAGGCGCGTTTTTTATATGTCATTGGGATCTCCAAAAATGTACGGACGCTTGACTTAATTGGATTACGACTGTAATTTTATACTGGGTGTTTCTTAGTCTTTGGGTGATTTTTAGTTTGATATGTTATCTTAGTTCATGATTAATTGTACTCGGAGGGTGATAACATTGGTTCAATGTGAAAATTTGAAATTAGTGTTAGTACTGGGTGCTTCATTTTTAGTTTCATATGTTATATTAGTTCGTGATTAATTGTACCCAAAGGGTGACGTCACTGGTTCAATGTGAAAATTTGAAATTAGTGTTAGTACTGGGTGTTTCATTTCTAGTTTCATATGTTACCTTAGTTCATAATTAATTGTGCTCGAAGGGTGACATCCCTGATTCAATGTGAAAATTTGTAACTAGTATTAGTACTGGGTGTTTCATTTTTAGTTTCACATATTATTTTAGTTCATAATTAATTGTATTCGAAGGCTGACATCACTGGTTCAATGTAAAAGTTTGAAATAAGTATTAGTACTGCGCGTTTCATTTTTAGTTTCACATATTATCTTAGTTCATAATTAATTGTACTCGAAGGCTGACATCACTGGTTCAATGCAAAAGTTTGAAACTAGAATTAGTACTGGGTGTTTCATTTTTAGTTTGATATATTACCTTACTTCATGATTAACTGTACAATAAAATGTCCCTCCAAAAGCAACTTGCACTTCCCTCATAGCCTCCAAATTACATGCACCCCAAATGCTTCAAAGAAAACCCAGACACCCGTAACTCGATCGATCGATAAGAACTGCCTACAGAATGGCTCGCCAACGTTAAAAAATTTCAAATTTAAAAATGCATACCTCCGCGCGCGTTGCACCGATGCAACGCACGACAGATTCCGCGAGAACATGCTGCAAGTGGAATCGCGAAAGTGCGCGATTCGCATGCGAATGCACCTCGATCCTACTCGTCCACGAACCTAATGTCGCCACCTTGTCCTCGTCGAAAATGAAATTCCACGTAAGCCGGCGTATTAAAGTTTCAATCTGTGCGACCGTCTTGGGATTATGCAGAATAATCGTTTACAAAGGGGGCGCGAGTTTCATCGGGCTGGACCTCTGCACGATATTGAAAAGCGGATCAAACGGGATTTGAAATTGAAATACAAAGTGTACGATATCGTCTGGGACCGTGGGTATCTCGTTCATTTCCATGGATATTGCGAATTCCTTCGAATTACGGAATCGGTGAACTGAACGCTCTTCGTAAAATTTCAAACACTTTCTGAAATATTTCTGAAGTAGATGTTGCAGAGAGAGGAGAGTTACAAAGAATGGGAGAAGATAAAATTGTATGACTGAATACAGGGTGTTTCACAATTGTAGGTCGATGGAATGAGGGGTAGCGGACGGGATTTTGAACATTTCCCTTTGCTAAAATGGGGTTTGACCTATTCGACTCGTTTATTCATCAGCGCTGGTGCTCCAATTCGAAGATGATTTGGCGCGAATCCAGTTTCCAGAGTAAACCCTGCTAATTTACCTACTGCTAATTCCCTTTTAATTGCTCCCGTACGTCATGGACCTTATGTACACTCTGACGTAGGAAATTCGGATGGAAGGTTGTTCCACTTCCGATGAAATGGATGTTCGTTCAACGTGTAATTATCGCTTAACACGCTATTCGTAGATGGATTCGTGGAATCAATGATAAGTTTCGATCTTATCAACCTACAATTTGTTTAAGACTGCACTTTCTAAATACAGATCACTGAATCATTTACCAACAAATCAATCAAATGAACATATTGTAAAATTGTGCACTCATGTTTATGTTGATTAAAATAAGGTATATGGACAATGTATATATTTATATCAATTTCATTAATTTTTGTCATTTCATTTAACTGATTTTTGTTGAACTTTATTTGATTGATTAATTTTGCCATGTCATTTTATTTCACCGATTATTTTTATTAGTTAATTTCAGTCAGTTGATTATCTTTTTTATTCGATTTAACGATCACTTTGCTCATTTAATTAATAATCATAATTAAGATAGGTGACACATGTTCGTGCCTCACAGGTGGTTACATTACAGTCCACGCAGTACACAGATTGCAACAGAAAGTTAGATAACAAGCCCGTTTGCTACACATTGTGTTCGCAATGTCATTAAATATTCCTAGCACGATGACGCGAATACCACGGGAATTTCGGAGACCTTCAGAGCCGCGAGCTTAGAATAATCCATAGTCGTGGGCGTGGACCAGATGTATGAGACCTTCGTTCTCGAGGGGTTGGAAAGTCACCTTAAAACGTGACCGGAAGAATAAAACACTCGAATTTCGTCGACGATCGTTCTACGTGGAAATGTCTTGTTTCCGACCTCCTTAATTAACCTCGTAACGCTGTTTGATCGACGTCCGCTAATTACGTATTGTTATCTGCAAACTGATTCGCTATCGCGGAGTTTCTCTGCTCCCAGTGTTGGCAATTGATCGTTACGCTCCGTATCGGCTTTAACTCGCGTGAGAACGCATCACGTGCGGGCGTTTTCATGAAAATTGAAATCGCATGCCGCGATACACGTACCTACACGTTTCCTTCTGTCTAATCTTCCAGGAATCGAAGATGCCATTCGAGGATACCAAGTGGGTGGAGAACGCGTTTGTCACGAATGGAGGACTACTGTGGCATTATCGGCGATTACTTCGCCACTTATGGTTCCGCTTTGGGCGAAATAACGAATGTAAATATTCGGAACGAATACCGAGGAACAGGCTAACAGCAATAACGGAGCTTTTATATCTACATATATCACAATTTTTATACTGTTTTATAGTACATCTAATTTATTGCATCCTAAGTCTTTAACCAAGAATATTTTGTAACATTCTTTCTTCTGGCTGTAGCAAAGCAGAATACCAGCAGCATACCAGAAAAAGAATAGCGGAAGAAATTGTTTACAGACGACAACTCTACATATGTAGCTCTGTACATTACATACTGTGAGAAATTAAGAGCTGCGTACAAAAGTGCCAGGAAAATCGTAACAAAAGCAAACATACGTAAACACGATGAGTCAGTTTCTCCATTTCGCTAAAACCATTTTCCATCATTGTCCTTTCGCTGATTGAATTCCCAACAGCAGTCGCAATTTGTTAGAACCTTGTACGACTTCGCGGTGACACGTGAAACGTCATAAATCCAACGATATGGTTTTTTACATGGTTGGATTAACAGATGGCACAGATGGGAATTCACCTCGATGGGATAATGCTCTATGAAAGTTAACTATCGACGTACACGGGGCAGTGTGTGTACGCGTGATCCTCGTGACACGATAAAAATATGAATCGAATACTTTCATACGTTCACCCTCGACGTTCTCATCCGTGCTGGACCCACGAATGCATTTTAATATATCCGAGCCCTGCGTGCCATATGCGGGATTTCGAAGGGTAGCTCGAGTTTCTATACGCGATATTGCGTTGACCCGCGAGAGATATATTGATCGTTCCCAAGGCTGAAGAGTGCTCGTCGAACACTAAGCAGATGTACGTGCGTTGGAACATTATTGTCTGATTTAATTCGTACATATTTCACTCGCGCGTTGTTACACCCCTTGGTTCAATTTAAACAATTCGGTTATTGCCTTGATACGGGATACGTATAATGGACAGAATAATTTGGGTCTATAAAGAAAATGAAGGGATTTGGATACATGGGAACGTGAGAGATTTGGAATTCGGGGAATTAGGATGTGGTGTAATTAGAAATTTGAGGAAATTTGGGGAAATTTGGAATTTGGGAGTTTCGGGATTTGGGAATTCTGGGATTTGGGGAGCTTGGAATTTGGGGAATTTGGAAATCGGTGAGTTTGGGATCTAGGGACTTTGGAATTCGGTGCATTTGGAATTTGGGGAATTTGGAATCTAGGGAATTTGGAATTTGGTGAATTTGGAATTTGGGAAATTTGGAATTTGGGGAATTTGGAAATCGGTGAGTTTGGGATCTAGGGAATTTGGAATTCGGTGCATTTGGAATTTGGGGAATTTGGAATTCGGGGAATTTGGAATTCGGTGAATTTGGAATTTGGGAAATTTGGAA